TCCTGAAATCATTGTTGCACTATATGCTGACTTGGATGTAAATTTAAAAAATAATAATTATTATAATAAAGATAAATTTTAAAAAATTTAAAAAGCAAAGGACAAACTGGGAATGTATTTACAATAAATATGACAAAATTAATATTTTATATAATATTTATGCATAAATATAACAAATGCAAAAAACAAACACTTATTGAAAGAGCCCCATCAGTCACTGTGCATTGGGAATGTATATCAACAGAAATAGAGGCAAAAGACAAGAATAGATAAAAGGGAAAAAAAATAACAAATAACTAATATCATTATGAAAGAAAGTTCAATCTAAGTAGTAATCAAACAAATGCAAATAAAACCAAAAATAAGAAACCATTACCCCTATCAAATTTGTCAAATATTTAAAACAGGAATCCAAATTTTGGTGAGGTTATGGTAAGAAAAGACACATTCATACATTGCTGGGTAGGGCTTGCTATAAAATTTCTGGGAAGAAATCTGCAAATAAATATGGATAATCTTTAAATGTTTAAGCCTTATAATCTAGTAACTTTATGTATAGGCAATCTAGCGTAGGAAAATCATATGAAATTGGGACAAAGCTCATATACAAAGACATTCATTTTGCATTATAGCAAAAGAACTAAACAAAAAAACCCAGAAATAACCTGAATTCCCAATTATAGAATAGTGAAATAATTGATACATTCCTTCACTAGAATATTATATATCTAACATAACTACTCTTTCTAAAATTCCTTAATTTCATAGAAAAATGCTCACAGTATTCTAATAAATCTCAGCTCATAAAAATATGCAAAAAGCAGAGTATTTTAAATCATAAAATTATGATGTTCATATATATCTACATAGATTTAAATGTAGAAAATTGTCTAAAAAGAAATACAATGAAATACTAAACGTGGTTATCTCTGTGTTAAGATTGAGTGATTTTATTCTCTGACGTCTCTATAATCACCACATAAGACATTTATGATAAAAATTATTAGAAATTGAAAGACATGAAATAACAAAAATTATACAAAGCATTTTATGGCACTTAAAGAGTATTTTCACACATACTCGTTCATTTTATTTTAACAAAATCCTATCAAGGTTTATAGTGGAAGAAACTGAGGCTCAGAGAAGTTAACAACTTGACAGTGTCACTTAGAAATAAGCTGTCCTTAGATTCTCTGCCACTCTTATGTGGATCCTGAGAAACTTAACAGAAACCCATGGGGGAGGGGAAGGAAAAAAAAAA